CATAAGGGTACGTTTCCACTGAGCACGTCACGACGTCACGCGTTGCGTCGTCCATCGTGTCACGACGCGACGCGAAAAAGAGAAGTTTATAATATTATAATATAAAATTGTATTGATTTTATTTCATTGCAATAACACAATATAGATTAATATAGATTATAATATAGACAATATAGATTATAATATAAAATAGTAATACTCCATATATCAGTGAAAACCATTTATATTCATTTATACATATAAGTATGAATAATAAGCCACTAAACGTAATTAAAATTATTTCTATATTTTTTCTATTATAGATGTTATCTATTAATTTGATATATTTCCAATATATTTATTTGATATTCGATATTTTCGATATTCTTGAGCCGAGAGTATTGATCTTGGAAAAGTAATATTGTCTCGTATCGAAATTTATTAAATCAATATTGTCTTGATATCGTCTTTATTTCGAGACAAGACAAGACGAGAATCTTGATATCTCGAATATTGCGTGCATCACTATATCAGATGACCGATTTTTTTACAATAATTACAGATTTTCTGCCCGACGAGCCTAGGTCCGATGGTCGGAGCGGACTGATTACACTGGTCGACAAAATTTTGCTATAAGAGTAAACCCTGCATATTCTCATAGGAATTTGTCTACAGATTACGAATCTGTAAGTGAAACTTTTCCGTCACGTCTGAATTTTTAGAAAAGTGGGGTTAAAGTGTCAAAAAAACGCGTTTTTGGCATTTTTCACAGCATTATAAAAAAATAACCATACGTGACAAACAGTTAAGATATCTCCTAAATGAAAGCTTAAACCTTCAACTGTAACCCTCAGAAGCAAAAACCCATGTAGCTTTAAAAGTTGATTTAGTTCTTTAGTTGATTTTATACATTTATTTTAAAAATATATTATTTCGATTTTTTATTTTCTTCATGTTTTTTTTATTTATTACATTTAAACGTATAGTTTTTACAACAAAAATGCGTACATATTTTCCTAACATTGAAATACAGTATCTTTTACATTAAATAAATTAACAGTTGAATAAGTCACAGAATTAAATGACACTTCCACATTTTTTTTCCAATTAAATTGCATCACTTGATCTTACTTTCATGTTAAACTGAGAATTTTTTTGTAACTGCAGTGATTAAAAAGGACACATAAAAAGGACACAGTCAACTTAACATTGAACACAGTAACAGTTGCTGTGTTCAATGTTAAGTTGACTGTGTCCTTTTTATGTATTAGTGTTCTGTTTTTCTTGAATTCTATATCTTCTCTATCTTTTCACGTATGGTTATATTTTTTATAATGCTGTGAAAAGTGCCAAAAACGCGATTTTTTGACACTTTAACCCCATTTTTCTCAAAATTCAGACGTGACGGAAAAGTTTCACTTACAGATTCGTAATCTGCAGACAAATTCCTGTGAGAATATGCAGGGTTTACTCCTGTAGTAAAAAAAAAGATAAATTTTGTCGACCAGTGTTATTTACCGGTGAGGGGCCTTGAGAGGGGATAGAACGAGCGGGAGCCGCCACGTGCGGCGTGCCTTGCGCCTGATTATTACGCGAGTTGGTGGGCCCACGATATCGCGAATCCTCCCTCTCGAGTCTTTTGTGAATCGCAATGACCTTGGAACAAGCGTCAGAGAAATTGCCGTAGCCTTTGGTTCGGAGCTCGACGCGATATTCGCGCGGAAGTCCCTCGAAAAAGGAATCGAGAGTAAATGAATCGATCGAGGATATCTCGATCTCTGTAGAAGGTCAAATCGATCGAAAATAGCCTGATCGCCTTCAATAATTGCAGTTCGTAGGTCCTTAATACGACCTATGTAGTCGAGAATATGCTCTGAGGGCTTTTTATACGCGTTGCTCAATTGCCCTCGATAATAGTTGGAATTTCTCCCTGGACCGAAAGTCCTTTTGAGGGTTTCTAGAAATTTATCGACCGAGAGGTGGGTTTCGTCCTCCACCGCGAGGTATGCATGATGCGACAATTTGTTGCGCAACATGCGAACTAACTGAGCTTCGTCGATAGATGGGATAGATTCTTTTGCCCGCTTACAGGCTCAAGCAAATTGCCAGACAGGAATATTATATCCGTCGTATTTTGGCACTAACTCTAAGGCATCGCGTATGTGTGACTTGAGGTAGGGCATATTAGAAGGAAAAAGTGGGGCCTCTGAATTGAAACGAACGCTAGGCGTTTGCAGAGCGCCTAGTAAATTCGAAGACGCGGGGGTGTCCCCTGAACCGACGGCGGAAGGCGCAGAGGCGGATGGTCCCGGATTTCCCGACAGGGAACCAATAAGTAGCCGAAGCATACCCTCGAGCGTATCAGTACGCTGACGTTCTCTTTCCCTTTTCTTTGCCTCCGCGACCTCCTTCGCGAGGCTTAGTGGAGGCGCGTCCTCTCCCGGCGAGGGAGAGGCGTCGTCAAACCTATCACCGTCGTTATCCATTCTTACTTAATAATTATTACTTTGATTTCGCTAACTGAGCAATAAAGAAGACAGTCAATTATTGACTGTATTGTCGATAATGTTCTCGCTTAAGGGGGGGGGGGGGGTGGGGGGGGTAAGGTTAATTCGACCTAAAAATGACCCATTTTTACGAATTTTTTGACGCGCTACTGTTAGTGGAAGTAACTTGAATTGATGTAGATATAATAAAGCAACATTTGAAGAATATCTAGTAAAAATTATATTGAAAAATGTCAAGTAATAACAAAATGGCGGCCGTTTTCCGGAAGCACCTCCAAAAATTGGTTTTGCGGTGAACAGCATAGCCCATCAGCGGATCAACTAAAATTAAAAAATGAAGATGTTTTGAGAAGCTAATAAGATTCTCGAGGTAACGCTGTCGAGTTTTTTTTTTTTAATTTTTTTTAGATTTTTGGTAGCACTTGAAAGTCAAAAAATCGATTTTTGACCAAAAAAACGACATATTTCTTACTGTAAAATGAAAAATAAATAAAGAAAAAATAAAAACTCGACAGCGTTACCTCATGAATTTAGTTGTGAATGAGTGTACCAAATTTCAAAACGATCGGTTCAGCCGTTTTGGCTGGAGAGTGTTCACCGATTTTGAAAACACGACTTGTGGGAAAATCGCTTTAAAATTTTGTACACTGAAAATTCCGAGTTTTTTGTGTTTACTTACATCGAATCATCAATGCCAGGCCCGTAAAGTACTGAGCTTTCATCTGCAGCATCTAATGCCTTTGTATACGTACGAAGATCGCTCGACAAAGAAAGGAATTTGGGGACAACAAAAGAGCACGAAACGGCAGCCAGGCAAGCGCGCCGCGCAGGTATGCGAAATCGACGTTCGAGGTACACTTACTTAAAAATTCATATCTCCGTTAGTTTTACGTGACGCTGAAACTAGCAGCGGATTCGGAAATGCAGTGGTTCTCAACTTAAACAAACGAATGCTATGAATTCATATTATATTATAGGCTAATATACGGTTTGCAAACGCTACAATTCATTATCCAAATATCCCCCGATCTAAAATATAAAATATAACGTATAATTAATAAGTCTTAAAGAATATTTGTATACTTTTCCTACCTAATTGTTTATGACAATTAACTATCTACCAACAGCGGATTCGTCTGGAGACCGTAGTTAGACGCGTTTCAAGCTGAAATTTGCAGGAAACTTTCATGGGCATGTTTAAAGCAAAATAGCTCTGGCAGAAAAAATTAAAAAAATTTCCTACCCTATTGTTTATAACAATTAAGTATCTACCAGCAGCGGATTCGTCTAGAGACCGTAGCTAGGCCCGTTTCAAGCTGAAATTTGCAGGAAACTTTCATGGGCATATTTAAATGAAAATAGCTCTGGCAGAAAAAATTAAAAAAATTTCCTACTATTGTTTATAAATTATTTAAACAATTTCAGGGTGAAACGACCACCAGCTTATTTGAACTACGCGTTTCAATCCCAAATTTTTACTGAAGCTTCCCTAATCATTAAGAAATAATTTCCTAATCGTAGAAAAAATTAACAAAATTTCCTACTATTGTTTATAATAATTAAGTATCTACCAGCAGCGGATTCGTCTAGAGACCGTAGCTACGCGCGTTTCAAGCTGAAATTTGCAGGAAACTTTCATGGGCATATTTAAATGAAAATAGCTCTGGCAGAAAAAATTAAAAAAATTTCCTATTATTGTTTATAAATTATTTAAACAATTTCAGGTTGAAACGACCACCAGCTGATATGGACTACGCGTTTCAATCCCGATTTTTTACTGGAGCTGCCCTAAACGTTAAGAAATAATTTCCTAATCGTAGAAAAAATTAACAAAATTTCCTACTATTGTTTATAGATTATTTAAACAATTTATGAGAAAAACGCCCACCAGCTGACTCGAATTGCGCGTTTCAATCCCAAATTTTTACTGGAGCTTTCATAAACATTGGGGAAAAAATTTTTTTAATTTCCTTCATTGTTTGTATATATGTATAAAAAAAATTTTTTATACATATTTAGTCTAATATTAATTAGATACTCATCCTTAGCGTTACCCGAAACCAACCAACGTGGAAGTAATGAGTGCGTGGTTTCTTTTTTTTTTTTACATTTTGTGATTTAAAAAATTTTTTTTTGTTTTTTGTTTTATATTACTTTTTTTTTTATTTTATTTTAGTTTTTAAACATTTTTTTAAAAAACCTTCTGTGAAATGAAACAAATATTGAATACAATTATTAATATAGATACTTTAGACAAGCGCAATATTCTAATGTACTAGTGCTATTTCCTGGAATTTCCCGTGATCTCCGAATAAGGTCACTGTCTGTACATTCTCGTTTTAGATAAGTCAATTTTTCATCGACTGTAAAGTGCGGGTGGTTTAAAAGGTCTTTTCCATTCGCTTCCATAATTTCGTGACATATCCATTGCCTTATTCTTTTCATATCAGCTTCTTGGAATGCGTGTATTGCACTGGAACACAAGATATATCCCCAGGTGCAAAGATGGATCCCTCAATTAACACCAATCTCAGATGATGAATATTGGGTTGGAATATCTCGTGGACAAAATAAAGTCCAATCTCTCCAGCTGAATGCAGGGAAATCTTTTTTTCCATGAGATTTTTCTATAAATGCACATAATCTCCTCATCAGGGTTTTCGAGGGTGTACCGTGTAGCGAATCTAGGTATATAATTGTGTTGGTTGGGAAGACGATTATTAAAAGTGTCCAGTGACCATTTTCGCATTTAGGCATTAGCCAAATTTTATGCATCCAGCCTTTCACTTTTTGAACCCATCTGATGAATTCAAAACGTTCACCATCATCTAACAACGACACAAAAAAATCGAAAATTAAAATACCTTTCGCATCATGTTTATTTCTCATTATATTCAAAAAACTATTTACAATGCTGTCATTTAATTCCATATTTGGCATCAAGGTTTCTAGATCACGTGTATCTATTAAAATTGGCCCGACGAAGAATGATGCCTCTTTCCAATTTTTGGGATAGGACACAAAATATTCATGCTGCCAAGGAGCAGTTGCTTCTGACGTAATTGAAAATGATTCGCTATGTGTCTGTTTAATTTCTGTATTGTCAAAGTGAAGCATATTTGGCTTGTTTTTGATAGTTTTTGGAAAAGCAGAAAATCCCGCATTAAGAGATCGGGATTTACTTCGCTTAAGCCATTGTTCCGTTTGTAGATCAATATCTTCATCTTCATCGTTTTCAGTCTCCACAATTGTTCTTTTTCTTACGTCCGATACATCACTTCGTTTCGTTGATGGTTTAGTTAGCGGTTTTCGTGCTCTTTTCAACGACTTTTCGTTTATTGATGTACTAACTTCTGTGTGCGTAGGAGAACTTTCTTTGGACACTTCATTATCTGAAGAATTCTGTACATTTTGTTCGGCACTCTTATTAGTTAATTTGCACTTGTTTTTTATTTGCCTTGTCGTTTTCTGGCTGTTTGTTCGCAGAGCAAATCTCATACAAATATTGTGTGACAATTCGGTGATGACTCGAGGAATAAGATTTTTCATTTCCCCATCGAAAACCTGATGCTTCATTATTTTGTGCCAGTTTTCGACTGCGGCATTGGAGTGTCTCCTAATTACAAACCTTTTAATTGCTATTCCCGACCACAGAGGATAATAGGGCATTAATTCTTCTAGAAGATATTTCAAGAACTTGGGAATATAATGGTCGTTGAGTTCGGACGTTTATGGTAGATCGCCTGCACGTTCGAAATGTTTTCGAAAGTAAATATAAAATTTACTTGTATTTCTTTTGATGGCGGAATATTCAATTGATTCCTCAACGTCTTCATATTCGATGTCTGGATTAATTTCTCGTTCATTGTCGTTATCAGGACTTTCAAATTCTACAAATTTGTTAAAAATCAAATTAAAATTGTCACATTTATATTTATTTCCAAAAATAATGCAAATATCTTCGAATAATGAAACAGCATCCTTCAATTTAGTTTTATGAATTAATTGGCACACTGCCAGTCTCAGTAGCTTTTGCAAACACGGATCAGTCGTGAATGTTTTTATCTATTTTATGGATGCCTTAATGAGATGGCTGGAGCAGACGTGAAGAATCGTAGGGGAAGTAAATGTTCTTCTGATGAAGCTTGCAATTGATCCCACACTACATTCATGTACATGTACAAATCTATATTATTGAAGGCTTTACACGCAGCTTGTAAAAGCGCCTTACTAAAATCTGTTTCAATTTGTGAAATTAGTGGCCGAATAGTTGTCATTTTTTTCAGCTCCATGACAAATTGTCCAAGGCACCTCTCAATTGTATAGACGTCATGCCCGCACGTAATAAACTCGAGAGGTGCAATTGGAACATTATCTTTTCCTCCTGCTATGACCATACAATAATAAAATGGTCTTTTAACACTGTCTGGTGGAGCCATAAAGATGCAGCCTGTCGCATCGAGATACAAACACAAATATCCTTTTTCCTTCATTACGTCGATGACCATGCGTAATTGCGCTTCCGAAAATAATGTGACTGAAAATGATGGGTAAACGGTATATCCTTGAATGAAACCTTTGACCATTTTTCCCTTCCAAAGATCATCATTATCGAAATCGTTTTTTAGTTTTGTCATAAATACGTGAAAATCTTTATCCAAGTCAAATTTTTTATGATCATCACTAGATATTTTTTGCAGAATCATAGCCGAAGGAGCATTGGTACGATTTCCTGCGTCTAATACCTCCTTTGGTACTTTCAGTAATTTTTGACCGGCTATACAGGGTGTAACTAAATTATCGCACTTGGAGTATACCATGAGATACAGGACGAGAATCCAAGTAAAAAAGTCCTGAGTCATTTTTTGATACGAGCTTTTAGTTCGTTGTTATACGATGTTAAAGTTAGCAAATTAGCGACCGAGTATAGAAGGAAGATAGGGACGTAGCAAGACGGAGCGGAGCTGACGATCGCGGCGGGAAGAACAACGTGAGTAGCGAAATGGTTACAATTATATCAATCTCTTTCTTTCTTTCTCTCTCTCTCTCCTCATCTCCATCTCTTTCTCCTCTCTGTCTCTCTCTCCCTCCCTCCCTCCCTCCCTCCCTCCCTCTCTCTACAGCTTGTTTAAAGAAATGTTAAAGATCAGAAAGTGCAGAGCTAAATGAATGATTTATTGTTTTCGCAATAAATTATCGATTTAGAATGAACTAATCGGTTATTTATTTTATTAAAACTATAATAAATGTTCAAAGTGCCCCCCTCCTACTTTGATACATTTTCGTGCTCTTTTCTGCACGTTTCGCGTAGCTCTTTGAATTTTATCGTTGTCGATTCTCTCGATAGTGCGGAGTATTAATTCTGTCATCTCGTCAGCTGTCTCGATATTTGCATGCATAAATACTTTTTCTTTGATTGCTCCCCAAAGAAAAAAGTCGCATGGATTGTAGTCTGGAGATCGAGCAGGCCACGGAGTTACTGAACCTTTCCCAAACCATTCAGGAAAAGTATCATCGAGATGACGGCGGACTATACCTTTAAATAAGAGATAACGACAACGATAAAATTCAAAGAGCTACGCGAAACGTGCAGAAAAGAGCACGAAAATGTATCAAAGTAGGAGGGGGGCACTTTGAACATTTATTATAGTTTTAATAAAATAAATAACCGATTAGTTCATTCTAAATCGATAATTTATTGCGAAAACAATAAATCATTCATTTAGCTCTGCACTTTCTGATCTTTAACATTTCTTTAAACAAGCTGTAGAGAGAGGGAGGGAGAGAGAGAGACAGAGAGGAGAAAGAGATGGAGATGAGGAGAGAGAGAGAGAAAGAAAGAAAGAGATTGATATAATTGTAACCATTTCGCTACTCACCGTTGTTCTTCTCCCGCCGCGATCGTCAGCTCCGCTTCGCCTTGCTACGTCCCTATCTTCCTTCTATACTCGGTCGCTAATTTGCTAACTTTAACATCGTATAACAACGAACTAAAAGCTCGTATCAAAAAATGACTCAGGACTTTTTTACTTGAATTCTCGTCCTGTATCTCATGGTATACTCCAAGTGCGATAATTTAGTTACACCCTGTATATACATATATAACATATATACGTACATATATATTCTTTTTTAAACAATATTTTGTTATTCTGAATTGAAATTGAATATAAATTAAAAAAATATGAATAAAGGTTTATTTTCCTTGTATAAACATAATATCAAAATAACCAAAACAGTCATTATATATGACTGGTTTGAGTTGTCTGATATAGATAGAAATAATAGATATACGTTAATATGGGTAATTCTAATGTTAAATATGAATATTTAAAACTTCAATGCAAAACATACATACATAAATATATTATATAAACATATATTTTGTGCACGCGTGTATGTTGAAAATTTAGATATATTTATGTAAAAACAAAATAAGAACATTCAGAGTATATATCCAGGACTGATACTTTTACTTTAAGTAAACTATATAAAATGTATTTATGTGTGTATAAATATAACAAATGTATTATTACTTTTCCTCTCTGTGTAATCGTTCTGTTGCGTGCGCCAACCATATTGTTATATGTTTTGAGATATCAGATTCGACTGCATGTGGAATATGTCGTCTGACAATACCTAATATAAAAGAATTAATAAAATTGTTTAAAACAAAACATGCTATTAATAAAATAAATATATAGCATACTGCTAAAGTTGGCTACAAGTAATAACGCAATGCAAAATTTTTTTTAAGAGGTAAGAAAAAAATGCAAACAAAAATTAAATCTGTAAATAAGAAAATTATTTAAAGTCACACAAAGATTTTAGAACACAAGAGTTCAGACATTTTTCTAAATTATAGATTAATACAATACATTGAGAATTTCATTAAAGTGTTAAGTTTAAGTACTTTAAATGGACAATTTTTTCTATTACTTTTCCAACTTAGTATACGATATATGCACACACACACGCACACGCACAGACACACACGCACACACACGCTGTCCCAGATCTAATGCACCACCTGCTAATGGAAAACGAAAATTCTAGTACTAAAATGTCGAGGTTTTATAATAGTTTTTGATTAGTTTTTTATAAGTATTTAATGTTAGTGAATCATATCGAACAACATCCTAACATTTGCACGTTTAGATGTTGCTGGCATTTTGTTTCATAGACAACAAAAAATGTTATCCACACCTAAACGCACAAATTTTAGGCGATATGATTTGTTAACTTTAAATATTTATCATTCAAATAATGATACAGAGAAAGAGACTTGTGTTGGTATTAAAATTTTCGTCTCAAAATGACTTTTGGAGGTGGTATCAGGTCTGACACTTGTATATTATACATATACATATGTCTTATTGATATAAATGACAAAAATCTTTCTCTAACCCAATATAATTTTCCATAAATATAAATTAGAAAATACAAGCTTTTTCTTTCCGCCAAGCCAACTGTATTCAGATGCAGCACTGTTAGTTAATGTGCGCGTTAAGATATTTATAGTAACTGATTTTAAATCATTACCACCCACCATACTCAACATTTTTATCTAAAAAACGAAAATTCAATAATTAATTAAAAATAAAATACGTTTATACAATCATATACATATAAATTTACATTAATTACAACTAATACTACATTAAATGCATCTTCTCGCGTAATCCGATATCAAACTTTATGCATTCGAGATTGAAGATTGCGAATTAAAGATTAGAATTCGATCAAACAAATAACTTTAATTTCAATCTGTTTTGTTTTGGTTAATTAAATTGTAATTTCTAAATCGCAATACTCAAACTCAATCTTTAACATATAGTTTGATACAGCTGACTTCACCTAGATTTATGATAATAATATATATAATGACATATTTAAGAAAATTATCATTTCTTACCAATGAATTTTTATAAGATTCATTTGTCTTCAAAAGATATTCTACTGTAAGCTGGGCCGAGAAAAAATGTCGGACGCTCGACGCGATGTCGGGACTCGAACCGAGGACCTCGTATATGTAGTTCGAAACACAAAGCCACCGCCTTGCCGCGGAGCCACACAGCCCGACACGTAGATCTTAATTAATATCTTACAGCTCGGCCAGCCTGAAATGTCATTCGTCCCGAATGATCGTCAAACAGTGATGTTTATGAGAAACTCACGGGGGCACGTAGCCTTATCGGAATCCCGCTGAGTAATTCACTGTCGGTAAAGTTGAGAAGCGCGTGGTAATTCTCACAGGGACACGTAGTCTATTTCCAAATCCTGCTGAGAGTCCACTGTCCGCTCAATAAACCTCAATTTCTGAGGGGAAATTAATTTTTGAAAAGTCAGGTTTTTCTTGCTGAGGGAAGTTGGTTGTATCCCACTTCTGAAGCTGTAAGCTGGGCCGAGAAAAAATGTCGGACGCTCGACGCGATGTCGGGACTCGAACCGAGGACCTCGTATGTAGTTCGAAACACAAAGCCACCGCCTTGCCGCGGAGCCACACAGCCCGACGCGACACGTAGATCTTAATTAATATCTTACACTACTTTCTTTAAACTTTCAGAATCTTTTAT